TATAATTTTACTATACCTATGATTGCAGTCGATATTTTGATTTAATATTTTTTTATCATACAAAGTCTACGGTCAGGTAAAATGTTAAACTATTCCAATTGGAAAAACAAATAAAAAATACCAATAAGATAAACCCTACTTCGTATATGAAACAGTAATATACAAACATTTGTAGGTCAGTACCTATGTTTCTCCGTTATACATTATTCTTTTCTAATTGGAACAGTTTTATTATTATACTAGCTATTATTCCCCGTGATTTCGTTCTCGTGGAATTTAACTATCATTTTCTAAAATAATATATTTTTTCTAAAATAAAACTAGCCTGAGTTAGTCCTTATTACCTCAGCTACCTGCCAATAAAAGTCCCGTCAAAATCGGTCCAGTCATTTCAGAGATTAGCCGGAACAAACAGAAAGACAGACAAAAATGGTAAAAAATGTTATTTTGATGTATGTGCCATATTTATATTCATATGCTTGTAGTAAAAAACAGTAATTCCAATATTACAAATAGACACTCCAATTTTATTTATATGTAATAGATAAAAGAATATTTATCACATTACACCATTTTACCTTTGTCCATCTATTAGGTATTATTACCAGCAGCTTGTTTTGTAAGCTGTGTTTTAGTTTGGTAGATAGATAGTTAGGTATTTTTTATTCACAAATTACAGACACAGCATATGAGTTACAGAAACATACATTAAACAAAGAATAAAAAGGAGGTGACTTTATGTACCGCGAAGGTGAATAGGTAACCAACTCAGGATAAAGCTACATATAAATCTGCAGTGTTGATATTCTGTTGGCTCCTGAACCTGGTTAGGTTTTAGGTTGTAAATTAGCCAGTGAAATTACATAAGACGTGATATCTTAGTCCTCTGGAATGACGACTGTCACGTGTTAACGTTATGTCCATAGATATGTTCATATATATAAACGACGGTTACCGCTTACAAACATTTGTACCGTGAGAGGAATCGAATCCGCGACCATCAGAAGTAAAGCAGTGTGCTTAACCGCTAGACTATCGAGGTCAAATACAAAAACATGAAACGTTCCTCCTGCGTCAAATGACTAGGTATATGATTGGTGCTATTCATATAGGCTATGGCTGCCACTTTCCATCAAGTTGGTCGTTTGCTTGTTAGTCACTTTAGTTATATAAAACAAATGAACATCGCTGTGGCGGTAAATATTCATATATTTATCAACAAGCAACAAACATCCATACTTACAAACTTTCGCGTTTATTAAGATTAAGGTATACCTATACATATATACATATAAGTATATATGTCAATGCCTATCATCAAAACAAAACACAGAAGTTCAAGGGCAAAACTTTGGAGTACAGTATTCAACGTCGAAAGAATTCTAAACGGTGGGACCTGACGCCTCAAAAATGAATTCGTCGCTTCACTTTCCAGAATTTTCTTTTTTTTTGGAAAACTTTCCCTTTGATGTTTCGAGTGCTACCCTCCGAATTTGGGCATTCAACGCCCCTTCAAGTGTACGTACAGGTGACTACTCCTGGATACTTTATATATCTAACTAGCGGACGCCCGTGGCTTCGTCTCCTTAGAATTAAATCACTATGCATAAGTAGTCTAATTTTATTTTTACAACGATTTTTATACGGTAAAAATACACTTTCGCAAAAATAGTATATGTAGGTGCTATCACTATCTGTAATTGTAATTTTGGGCAATTTTAATCTTAGTCATACTACTATTAGGTATCATTACATATTTAAGTATATTATATATATATGTACCCATGTACCTATATTCTGTGATAGATTTTAAACAATCTTCATCAACATCACCCTAACAATCGATTTTCGTTCCATTGTTTGATACCGGTATTTTCTTAAGGAGATAGATTTTATAAGGTGGCTCGGGAGAGCATTAGCCAAGCCTACTGTATCATCTTTTCTTTAAGCGACTCACGGCATTTTCTACCTCTGTCTGAATGGACCTATATTTTACTAATTAATTTACATTTTTTAAATAGGTACAGTGCTGCGTCTGAATAGCCCTATACCTACTACAATATTTCACTAATTAAACTTCACTTTTTAAATAAAGTGTACAATAATTATAATTGCCTATCCATTATAAATATTACAGAAATAAAAATGTTCATAATATTGATACGGTAGGTAACAATGAATATTGGTAGGTAATTGAATATGTAATAATTTATAATAAAGTTGTTGTACAGGTGCTTCCATAGATACGAGTACTAACTAAAATAATTGATTTGATTTTATGTGAGATATCACGTTTTGTAGCACGTTTGTAGCGGAATAACTGTGTCGCAAGACTTGGCATTTTTTTATATTTTAAGTTTTTGGTCTACTATTACTCTACTGGCGAGACAATTTGTTATAGAAATTATGCAGTTTTTCTTCTGTATAGGACTATAGGATATTTTACTTTGTATAGTTGGTCATAGTCAACTTTATCTTCATCGGTATAGGTATACCGATATATACCGATATTACCTACCTGGCCTATTTCTGCCGTCAAGCAATTCATATATTCGTATCATATAATACAATTTTACTTATATTTACGTAAACTAATGCAAGAAGTTTTAATATAGCGAAAGAATTTGTCAACTATGGATCCGGAGATTATCTTCCACATACCTACACACTAAAACAAATACCTAATGTTAGTAGAAAGTTACACTTTATAAGAAAAAATTTCTTTGAGAAAGAAACACTAGTTTCAAAACAATTTTCACGCACGCTTACCTATGGCGAAATATCGGGAGCTCGTAAATAATATTATCTGATAAATGTCTCGTTTATATAATGTATACAGACATTAAACGTCGTGAGAAGCTTGCTAATATACACATTTAAATTAAACCAATTTAGTTATTTTTTTTAATTATTACGAGCACAAATGCACAGACAAACAGATAATTAAAAGAAAATTTGCTAATATTAGCAGCGTAATATAATAAGTACACCATTTGAATACTTTGTAAGTACTCATATTACAGAGGTCAGTCATCATAATCTCTATAATATAGAAACAGTCAGTAAATTGAGATACCTACATTTAACTAAAACGGCTATGCATATAAAATAATGATTTTAAAAGAACTAAGTTTTATGCACAGCCATTATGCTTATGTTTGTTTTCCCTAAACAAATAGTACTTGTTATATTTACTTAAGTGAAAACAGTTTTAAGCGATAAACTTTATTTTAAATGTAAGAATTATTTGCTTTTGTAATTTATCCATCACCCATCTAGTAGGTGATTAGGAAATGATAGAATTCAGACTCACTTGTAGGTATCAGTGTAATTCATCTATATAATCATTTGAAGTTAAAACTAAATTGCGTGAATTAGTCAGCTTTTTGGAGATAAAATATAGCCTGTATTTGTCGTCGTGTTACAATTTAACTTTAAATCAAATTTAATTAAGACCCGTTCAGCCTTTAGTTGTGAAATGATAAATCTACAGATAGAATTTTATATAGAAATACGTCGCATTTATAACATTAGTTACAAACATGATATATCTGTTAGTATAGATTGGTTTGGATTTCAGGAAATTATTATTTGATTGTAATATCTTATAATACCTGTCTAATAATAAAAAGAGACTTTAATAGGACGAATGTGGTGGGTCATGATAACTTGTGTTTATGTTAAAAAAAATATTTATTCAAAAAAGCAACACACAAGTTTCTTGCTCTTTGATTGATGAGATGTGAGTGGCAGAATAAAAAAATATTACTTCAAAAGTGCTTGTATTGTGTTTATTTCAATAAAGATTATTTCTATTTCTATTTCATGGCGATTTTCGCATAATATAGACTTGGTATAAGAATTTTACACGACATGGCTACACATCAGTCTATTGTACAATGTTCTCGTATAGCCAAAAATCGCACCAGATGGAGGTAAATTGCGTGGTCTGTCTCCAAGGAAGACAACGAAGAGATACCATCACAAAAGCCACGACCATTCCAAAAGTCAAGAGTGAACGACTGAAGAAGAAGAGATTAGAACTATATTTCATGTTATTTCTTCTCTTGATATGGGTATATTGATATACATTTTCGTTATTGCCTTTTTAAGCATAAAAATGGCGCAAAATAAATTGAAACTTGTGTTAGCTTTTCCATAGTTACTTATTTGTTTTTATAGAGGAGTCTACGCATAAAATGAAATACACATTATGAGGAATTTGTACAACACTTGTAATTATAGTACCTACCTCTTCTTTACTCTCATATTTATTTTTGTTGGAATTTTAAAACACCTAGATTCAAATTTTCGTCCTAGCCACGAAATTTCGAGGAGAACATTAATGCAGCGACACGTCCCGTCGGATGCAAGTTGCAAGAAAAATGCGCCTAATATCGCAACACGGCTTGTTTATATGCGCCTATATTACTTTGAAACAATCATATCTCCTATAGCAGAGAATTTACATACATTCTACATGGAGTATGATTCAAGTTATAAGAGTCGGCACTTGTGTGTTTGATAGATTAGAAACAATTTTGGGAATTTGTTTAATTTTAGTTTAGGTAGGATCCATCACATTCTATGCTTGATATGTTCTTTATTTTTAAAAGAGAATTTTTAATTATAGTGTATTATTGTGTAACTAATGCTACTTGTTATATGTAGTTATTAACTACTTAGAAGTGAAATAGAAATACATTTTATAGTTTGTACCTATGTTGCGAGAACTGTTGATTTATGCCTACGTCAATATCATGCCATTTTACGCAATAATAACTTTGTTGTTTTGGTAAACAATACCATGTGACCTAGTTTCATATTGTATCGTACATTTTAAATCCTAATGCTAACCTTACTTACCCCATTTTTTTAATGTAATACTAGTGATCACACACAACACACAATTTAGCACGTCCATATTGCGGTAACAACGCGACACGATCACAGGCGACGTTTGGTAACGAGCAACGTGGGTGACTTGGGGCCGTACTGACCTGCCACTTTTGGTGATCACCATCTCGGTGCCCAGCTTGTGGAACTTCTCCCAGAGGTCCTTGCCTTCGAGGGTGACCTTGGGATCGTCGACGACACCGTCGTCGTCGGGCGGCAGCGGCGCGTACGGCGGTGGCGGCGGCTTGAGCAGCGGACAAGGCGCGGACAGCGCGGCGGCGGCGGCTAGCGCGGCTGGCAGGTACGGCGGCGGCGGCAGCGCGCCCGCCGTCAGCAGCGCCGACACCGAGAAGTCGCTCGGCCGCGGCGCCAGCAGCGGGTGGAACGCGACGGCGTCGCGCCGCTCCGCGCCCTCGAAGCGCATGCCCGCGCCGCCCGGGACCCACGGCGCGCGCTCCACGACCGGCGTGCCCGTCGGCTCCAGCGGTCGCGCTCGCGCCCGCTCATGCAACGTCCATAACGCGCCGGCCGGCGGCTCGTTCGCGACACTCGCTCGTCCCGTGGCGACACCCGCTCGCGCGGCAGGCGTCAAACGACTGGCCGCCGGCGGCGCCGGCTCCGACACCCCTCCCGCCGCGCGCCGCCCAATGGCGCGTCGAGCGGCGCCCCGCGCGCGCACCGCCCGCGCAGCAGGCGGGGCCGCGGCGCCACGACGCGTTGTTTTTTCGTCGCGAGCGAGGTGTCCGCCGCCGCCACACCTCGCGCGCCGGAGACGCACGCGGGGTGTGCGGGGGGCTCCGCTAATCTGGTTAATGCGGCGAGCGGGGGCGACAGTCGCGTCCGCCACCGCGACCGCCGCCTCCTTCTAATTGGACACGTTTCCGTTCGTTCATCAATTGAGCTCGTTACGTTCCCGCAATATCTTTTGTGCGGCGGCCGGTGGCATCCTCGTATAGAGGTCCTCATCGGCTCATCCGTTGCGTGGACCCACCAGCGCGACGCGACGCGACGCCGACGCGGCCGCCGCAGTTATTCTAGTCGCCGAAGTTGGAATGTAAACTTTTTGCGAACACCAACTTCGCTCGTGGCTACACGTTCAAAACTTCTCAGAAGTTGTTCAATTAAGATGAGGTCGACCAAGCGCAAAGCCTCTCAAGATTAGTGTTCTGCAACGTTACATGCTTAAGTTTTACCTACACAGTGGTGGGTAAATATGTGGGTTGGTTAAGTTCCTATGTTTAATACCTAATTATAATCTAAATGCCTAATAAAAAAAGAATCATCAGAATCGAACAACTATGTAAAAACTCTCTCAATTAGTGATATTAGTGAACACCAGGTTTAGGTAACGCCAACCTTCAACATAGTGACCGGAAATGCAAGAAAACATTGTATTGAACCAAGTGTTGCAATCTCTGAAACGCCTATCAGTTTATTATGAGGAGGATTATATAAATAAACAAAATAAAAATCTTGCAATTTATTTATAGCCACAAAAACGTGGGAAATATACTTACATCTACATTAAACCTACTTAGGTTATGATACTAACTCACTTCTGCGATCTTAGGTTGGCATAATAAATAGAATATTACTCAAACCAATAAAAATAAATGAATAAACATTTTCATTGTGCGAGAATCGTTATTATACCAGAATATGAATATGTATTTGTATCAATAAATAGGCAATAGGCGTTTTATTAGAAATCTGTTATTGAAGTGAGACATTGGTGTCTACTGGATTGAATAAAAAAGTGACTACAATGAACTTGTAATTATTTAAGGGGATAGCAGAAATGACTAAAATTGTTGTTGATATGTATGTTTTGGGAAGTAGGAATGTAAGTAATTAGTAGGAATCTATCTATGAAGTTGGAAATTAAAATGTTGTAATTTTTTTTATTATTATTACACTCCCTTAGATATCTACCAATATAGATATAGGTAAGTTCAAACTTACAGTATATATTGGTTTTATTGTAATATTAGTTTTTCATGCGACCTCACCTTATGTTTCGAGGCGAGGCCATTATAATAGGTAATAGCTAACGACTAGTGAGAAGATTTGAGAAGAACACCAACTTTTAAAGGTTAACCTGTTTATGTATAGGTACCTACCTAAGACTTAAAAAGTTTTTTATAGTTTAAATTTCGAACGTGTTGCATTCATTTATTTTTTAAATAAATAATTATTAATAGGATGTAAGAATATTATCTAGGCGTTTTTTTTATCTCTTCAATTTTTGAAACTATAATTAACACATAAGTATCTACCTAGTCTTTGGTCCTCAACATACATCTATATTTAAGTATATAGAGTACCTAGGTACTTACTTAGATAGGTATTATCCTATATTAAAATATTTTCTTAGATAATGTGAATTAGAGTTACTGTACGTGCTATAACTATATGTTAATAGCTTATAAATAATCATAAAGTATATTTACTGAAATATTTTCGCGCTAAATTAGTTCTAGAAATAGCGCCATCTATTGGTGAGTGGATATGAACAATGCATAGTTTCATGGTAACATTTTATCATTTTCGTTCATTAGATTAGAATTATTTTTTATGTATATGTTTTTGTATGTTTTAATGGAGTGGTGCTTTCGCCAGCGATACGGTAGCTATAGGTTCACTATAGCTTGGCACCAGTGAAGGATTATAGAATGTGACCTACCTATGAAGTCAGGTCAGTTATTCAGTCAGTATAGTATCGTGTCGAAATCACCAGTAATTGTACACGATGGTTTTGTGTGATCGAATTATAATGTGTTGGTAGATATCTGTTGAGTAAAATATTCCTGAGAAATATGTTTGGTCAATTTCTTAGGAATTAGGTGATGCGACTTAAATGTATTTAGATGATAAAAATAAATATAAGGAAGTATCTAGTGTTAGTTTATTTTATTTTTAATAGGTGATTATGGAATGGGCAAGTTCGACAGGAAATTCACAAGGAATTTATAAATATGGTTTCCAACGGAACCACGTAGAGTCCTGACATAGTACATTGTTAGAAATGGGGTCCTTAGTTCTCTTTACTAACAACCCACTTCTGTTTTCTACTGTTATTGACCTTGTACAAACTCACAAATATGTTACAATGATTGTCATCCATGCAATCAGAAAATGTGGTTTTCTATTGCCATCTGGTAGAAAATAATAAATCGATAACTCTATAAAGAAAGTCATGACTCGATAAGTATAATCTTGCTTAAATATGACAATTCAAAAGTAATAAAATGAATTATTTTCATTGAAGGATTTACTGTAGGCTCGCCTTGCTAAGTTGGAAATAAATATACACAAAGTAATGTGGCCAAGTGTTGCGTTGACAACATTGACAATTGAGAATACTTTAACCTATGTCGGATAATAGTCCTGATGGCATTGTTTTTTAAATAACGATTATGTGTTTCTATTAAAGAGTGGATGAAGAATTTAAAATCTCTTTTTTCTTTGGGGTTTTATAGCTCGGTACGCATTCGGCCCGGATAAGTAAACAATGCGAATTCGTATCTTGTCATGGTATGGTAATATGTACTGGTGGTTGCCCATAGGTCTTTTTTTTTCAGAATTTAATATGACGTTCAGTAAGACTGTAGATAAATCATCTAAAAATAAACAGTATTAATCTATTCTCAATTTGCTTACAGGCTTTAACAGTAGATAAGCAGAATAGTGTATTTGACACGCTCAGGCATATATTTAGCGTGTGTTTTTCAAATACATATATAGTAGTGCGTGTAATGTTTCTTTTTGTTGATTTAAAGTATTTTTTATGCATTTAAAAAAAGTATTTGTGTTCTACACTCCATCTGTATATAAATTTTGTAAGTGTGCGGAATTTTATACTTCACCATCCGCGCGATTTTCTTAAAAAGGAGTACAAAGTTTTTCTTCACATTTAATATGTAATATATAATGATTTATCTTCAATAAGTATTTAAGTAAATAGTTGCCTTGTAAGTAAGTACTATTAGTTATACCCAATAGATGTTAAACGAGTCGGTATTCAGTAGGTGCTTGTATTTTTTTCTTGTCAATCAAAAACATCAAGTGACAGGGAAACGGAGATGATACGAGTATCTACCCATATGTAGGTATCACGTATAATTATGGAACGTTTGTAAATGCCAGAAACCCGTATGGAATATTCAATTAGTCTGACAAGAGTATGACGTATAATTGTTTTAATGGTTCAGTACCTATAATATTGTCAGAAAAGTTTTAAAGTACAATCAAATCAAATCATAATATCTTTATTCATGTAGGTCTATTACAGACTTTCATGATATGTCACATCTACCGTCAATTCAGAATGCTTTCGAGATGAGAATAATTGACAAGAAACTCACTCCTATTCTTTTCAAATAAGATTGTATATGTTTACAATAATACAGATTCATTTTTAAATTTAAATTTAAGAGAATATTGTGATACCAGCATATGCTATTGTAATTTTTATTAAAAGTAAATAGTGTAACCAGTGTTTGTAACCGAACAGACTAGTCCTCAAAAGCAGCACCCGTTCACGAGTATGACGGATGAGCCAGCCATCTTTGCATTCAACCATATTAGAGAGACAATGTGCTCCATTGGAGAGGGACCATATTAGAGGGAGTAACTAATAAAAAAAATATTTTGTAAATAAACGACTAGTATTCCTGTACAATGCATCGAGACTCAAACTGGAGGGGGGAGAACATTGATCTGACTTCATCCTCATTCTGTCAGTCTCCTCTAGTGTCTCTTCAGCATACCTTAATACATATATATAATTATATTATATATGTTTACAAAAAAAATATTTTAGTATTTGTATCAGTTAACTAGTAGGTACCCATAAGAAAAGCTCTGCTCAGCTTGGAACTTGATGGTTCTATTCTATGAATATTATTCTTATAGATGTATTGTATTATCAAATTGCACTGCCTTATTATCTCTAATCAATGCGACGGTTCATTGGTAGAGAATGCCATCAGGCATTAAGTCCACCGTGTACAGTTTTGATAACAGAAGCTCTACTTAGCTTGGAACTAGATGTCACTGTATGAATTATCCAGGTATATTATTCTCACAGATATATTGTACTTATTAAATTGCACCAGAATATTGTCTCTGATCAACGCTACAGTTGACGGGTAGAGAATGCCATCAGGTATTAAATCCACCATGTAATACAATTTTGTGTGCAAAAGAATAAGTAATGATCACAGCTTCGGTGGTTCAGCGGTATAGGACACCGCTTTTCTTCCGATAGTTGTGAGTTCGATTCCTCGCACGGTATAAATATTTGTATTCCTGAATATGTACTATTTGTTTATTTATTAGTCTGGGTGTTTTTTATGGATATTATGTATGCATTTACAAAAAATATATATATACAAATACATAGGTATTTGTATCAGTTATCTA